CATCTGCTGAGAGCCGGGGCTTTCCGCCTACGTCGCCAATCTATCAATTCCAGCCGCACCCAGAGCTTGGAGGATTCTGTTTTCTGCTGAAAATCACAGTTCCTTGTAATCCCCCTGGAAGCTGCTCTCAGATTCTTCCACTCAGAAAGACACTGAGCCCGGCCAACAGACAAGCTAGCAATTCTCAGGGAGAAATCCGCCTAACTCCTACACTTTGGGCATCAGCTCAGGTTGGACTTTTATTCCAGAATGTTCACCAGCACCCCTTCCAGCCTTTGCTCCGGGGCCACCATGAATTCTTGGGCAATGACAGTGTTGCTATGCTTAGAAATGTACCTGTGTTGCTTAGAGGCACATATGGAAGAATTTAAAGATGAGATGTTGTGTGACCAGACACCCACAAGAACCTGTCGCCAGAGCATGGGCCCCCCTTCCCATACAGAGAAGCCAAGGGCCCTTCATGCTGTGTTGATGACCCGTCTTTCTCTCTAGGACCCGACATACAGTAGGGACATGGCCAGAACTGGCTGAGGACATGAGTGGTTTTGCGGCGTGTGAGCGTGTGTATAGGAGGGGGTCACCTCCCCTACTCGGTGAGCCCCATTTTTCATAGGAGGCAGGGCTGCACCTTTTCCTCAAGAACTTGGCCATTTGGTGACTCTGGCCATTCAGATCCAGCAGGCCTGCTCCATGTCCTGACCGCTGCGCAGAGAACAAAGCAACTCCCAACTCCCTGCTACCGAGTCCCTGCAAACCGCCCGTGGGTTTCTGAGACGGTGCCGCTGACGGGAGTAGAAAGCCGCCTCTTTCCCCTGAGGAGCGGCCGGTGGTTTCCAACCACCGAATGTTCAGTTCGCAGCCTAACATGTAACCACCACCCGACCAGGGCTTAGGAAGGAAGTCAAGTACATGTTGGCAGCAACAGAGAGCTCAAACGTAGCAGTGGTCCGTTCACCTGGAAGTCAGGTGGCCAGGCGTTAGCGCTGACTCACCGCTGACCAGCCTGCTAATGGAGGGTCTCTTTTTAACAGAGCAGGGGGGTTCTAGATGCCTGTTGATGGCACTAAAATAAAACTAGAATTTATAATAGTATTGCTTTCAATAGAACCCCCTCCCTTTTTAAAAAGCACATAACCAAGTTCCTTAATTTAAGGAGGCTTGGGAATCAACTGGCTGGCAGTGAGTTTGGTTTGGGATGTGTGTTTTTCCCAAATGTACAGTGAAGCCCCATAATTGGAGGAGCTCTGCTGGCTCTGTGAGACAAGCAGCAGGCTGCTGACTCTAAGTTGGTGGTTCAAACGCACCAGCCACTCTGATAGAGAAAGACGAGGCCGTCTAACTGCCCCAAAGATTTAGAGTCTCAGAAACCCGCTAAGGGGTCTCTGTGAGTCAGAACTGACTTGATGGTAGCGAGGCTCTTAAGCCCCTTCTGTAGCCAGCGATAGCAGCCCTAATGCTATGTGATTTTCTTCACAGGAAGAAATCTTGTAACCCACACCACATTGTGTCCCGAACTAAAAGCTTCAGCGACAGCCACCTGGAGACACAGCACAGGTTTGTGGCACGGCGGCCAGGCTCAGGTTGTGGCATTGTGACAGCATGCAGGTTAGTACGCTGCTGGAAGCGATGTCACCAGAATGTCAAATCCAACCAGTGCCAGCCATGCTGGAGAGGTCTCAGCACAGGTGGGCCTGGTCATCTCCTGAGGAGAACCAGGCGGTCACCTCACGGACAACAGAACCTTCTCTCACTTGCTCTGCCATGGCGG